CAAAGTAAGGGTAACCCAAAAGCGCACATACTTCAGGTGCTCTTGCCTTGAAGTATCATCCGGCCTCGTGGCATGCAGCATAACCCGACTTGGATGGTCAGGGGGACCTAGTAAGTATACAGTAACCCTAAACCCTACAGTATGCAGATACCCCATATAGGGGGACAATAAATGCAGTCATCTCCATTATTGACTTACTCACCAAGTGCAACTGGCCTTGCTTACAGGGCTCTAAATCCTTAAATGATGTCTTCCTTCGGCGCCGTACACTGGATAGATACTGCCCGCTTACCCTACAGTGAAGAGAAGACCTACGTTGAGCTTACGGTAATTGAATAGTGTATGCCTACTTTGGGCCCTGCACGCCATAACAAATCGTTTGCGACTTCAGTCCATGAATGACAATGCATAATTTGGGCCCTACAGTCTACCTTTGGCCTTACCCTTTCTACACGTACCTGCTTCGGGCATTTTGGATCCCTCGGGTCGAGAAGGGCTAGCCCCTTGCATTGGTTTAGGGTCTTTACGCTTTGGGGGTTAGGATCTCAAGGGCTTTGGGTACTGCAAGATGACATAGGATCGATTCCTGATTTGCGGATCGAACGACCATTCCTGAAAATCGAATTCTAGGCGCTACTTGGATGCTCAGAGGGACGTGGAGAAGGTAGTTATAATTGTTTTAATTCGTCTAACCCAGAGGAAAACGAGGAAAACAAAGAATCCGCATCTCTTGCCTGCTTACTCGGTGCTCCTGACCATCCAAGCACAACCTATGCTTTGACTGCGGGGTGTGAGGTTCCCTGCACCAGGTATATGTCGCCAACTGACTTGCAGAAAGATCTCTCAGAAACATTAAATCGCTTCCACCCACAGACGGCCCCACAAATTCCAAACAGAAGAGCTCATGCAAGGCTTTCGTAAGCTTCCGGAGAGAAGAGGGCTAAATAAGCGACTCCCGTACACCTTACTTTTTGGAGGGCATCATGCACCACTTGCACTTGTAGTCACTTAGAGCCCTCAGGTGTTGAGGTTCGGGTTGAACTTTGCAATCTCCCCTTGCATGGGGTCTTTGCCGAGATGTGGTTCTATCTAAGCATTCAGGATGTATATGTCCGCCGAATACCCTGGTGTTGGCTGAGTCTAGTAACTGATAAGAGGAATATATAACCTAACTTGGATCAACCACCGAAAACACCCCTCGTATGTCTAATGGGGGTAAACCTTATTCCTAAGCTCAAACACCTAGGCTTCCCAGCTGCTTAAAACTTACCAACAGGCACCTAAAGGGCCCCTCCATCCATACACGTCGTAGCTCAGACGCCCTGCTTATAAGATCGCCTAGGACAAGCGCCCGGATGACGAGAACGGCAGCACTGATTTCCAACGAATCAAAGACGCTTACGATGCGCTCGCGGCGGCCGGAATGGCTTGAGCTTGATTTTCAAAAAGAAGTTGAGCCAGGGAAGGTTGGATGTAGACACGGTAAATGCCCAAGGAGACATACATTTGATGACCCATGCAGGCAACTCACCTCTCCTGGAGGTTAAAGGTTTTAAGGTTGTAATCAACATTCTTTTGAGCTGCTGTTGGAGGATATAACCCCTATATAACTCCTATAATAACCCATACATCACCCCTACATAGTAGTTTCCATTTTCCATTATCCCAATACAACCCAACCCTACACCCTAAACCCTATCTATATATACACATATCTATATATATATATGTATATGTGCCCTACTATAGTGTAGTAGTTTCCACTTTCTTTTCCATTATCTCCATATTCAGGGTTGGGGTCTAATTAGGGAGTTGTGGGCTTTCGGTCAGCGATGGGGGTTCAGCATGTACACGTTTCGGCATCATTGAGGTCCATGGTGGGGTTTAGGGTTCAGAGTTAGGGTTTAGGGGTTGAAGGTTGAGGGTGTAGGGTTTAGGCTAGGCTCTGCAACAGACCCTCATAATTAACAGGGATCTTAAGACAGCAAACGCTCTACACATGTGTCTGGCGCAGTTTTCTCAGCAGAGTTGAGGTCGCCTAGGGGTTCTACAAATTTCATGAAGGGGCTGTAGAGTTTCTGGAAGTTAGCATGGGCGTGTTGCCACATAGTGGGAACACTCAGGAGTCCATGTTCTGACCTTGTGAGTATAGAATACTCCTGAATTTTAGGCGTTTGGGAAGCTTTGACTAGGGAGTTAGGTGCATGTTGCCCAACAGAGGGATCAATAGGATGACCCATGGCCATAAGTACTCCTAACTCCTCCTGCCATACTTCCCGCTGTTTGCCTACAGGACTCCCCCCAAGTCCTTGACGATCCCTGAGGCCCTCCATGGTTGGCTGAAGCCTTTGGAACTTGAATTCTCAAAATATTTTCCGGCTTCCTGTGCAAAACCCCTCTCCCGCCCCTAAACCGTAAACCCTAACCCGCTCCACCCTAAGCCACAGTCCCCAACAAAAGCTAAATCCCAAATCTGCAAGCCTGAGCCTGAAGTCACATTTCGCTGCTCATCTGGGCTCAGCAGACACGGGGGGAAAAGCTCCCAGAGGCATGGAGGGAGACAGTCCCTTGTCCTACTGGTGGCTAGTAGGAAACATTTTCCTGTAATGAAGGAGTGAAAGAGAAAATGGAAACCTATAAGTTCTTTGGTAGTACATATTTGCCGGCTCATGGAAATAAATAAGTATAGACCTACAACCCACATAAGCCCGCGAACAACCCCAGTTATCCACAGCTTGTTAGCCTGCATTGGAAGTCCCTACGCAACTCAGTCGGGGGTACTTTTGGGTCATTTGTTAGTAGGACGCCCCTCCCTGCAATTATGATGTAATAAGATTATCAGAGGACCCTATTTATCATTGCCAGTTTCCCTTATAGTCACTGTTATAGGGAGGGGTTCTGCCGAAGTTATTCGTCTCAATGGTTTCTTTGCGGCCGGGTTGGTGTCTTCGGGATTTTGCGTGCTTAGAGGCTTGAAAGGTGTTTGCGGATTTCGGAAACCAGGGTTTGGGTTGTGGGTTTCATGTGAAAGCTGTGCTCATGTGACTTTAGGCTTTTCAAGGTGAAGCCACATCTTTTATTTTCTGCCAAGTAGGGATCCTAGCAGGCCAGTGTTTTGGAAGTCGGTTCCTTGTCAGGAAAGTGGCCTTGATAATCCACGCCTCTAAGAGTAAAACCCGGCAACCCGCCTACTACGAAGGATTCCCCATATCGGATAGGAATATTTCAGCCAGGATGTGGGGGTACAGTCCCGCGCGGAGGGGCTTATCTTTTTTTGGCGGCCTGTTGAACTGAAGTGCTCACAGCCTATTCTCGCAGCATCCTACACAGTAGTGCATCGCCTTTCCTGTGAGGGAGACGTATTTCATCATAATTCGAGGAGATGTTGAACGAGTTTTGGGCGATCTGGAGCCCAGTGACGAATAAAAGCACAGCCTTCGGCAGTGGAGTTGCGCTGTATTTTCGGATGTTAAGGTCCCCAAGACAGAGTAAGATCATATCCTCCATTTGAGTATAGCAGAGTCTTAAAGTATGGTGCTCTTTTAAAAAAGAACACCATCTTGTTCTGATCAACCACCAAACAACACTACTCATTCAATTTTTCATACGTGGAGCAGGACATCGTGCTAGTACAGGATCACGCGGAGTCCGGCCTGCTAAGTTTGAAATGCATATGGGGAAGTCCTTAAATTCATTACAGTACGGACAGGTCCCTATAAGTGGCCTCTCATTACAGTATGGGCCCTCAAGTAATTTTCCAATCTGGGAACAGTATTTTGGGCCAAGTCATTCGGGAACAGTAACTTAGGCCAACTCAAATGCACCAACACCTCAAAAGACTAACCTATGAAAACGCAGAAAGTCGCAGACCCGAGTGCCCCCGCCCGCATCCTGCACCCAAAAAGTGAAACCTAAAAGCGCCGTCATTGCTGAAACTTAACCCTTGACGTAAACCCTGAACTCCTAAATCCTAAGCCCTTAAGCCCTGAACCCTTAAATCCCTAAATCCTACACTCCTCCAATCTGAACCCTTGCCCTAAAACCTGAACCCCTAGATCCCTAACCCCTATAGTGGGTTCAGGGTTTAAGGATTTGGGGCTTAGGGTTTGGGGTCCGAACTCTCAGGCAGCGGATCACCGGGCTCAGCGCCTGCAGCTGCCGGAGACCCCGCGCCTGCGGCGGCCGTGGCGCCTACGGCATGCAACGGATGCCCTGGAGCAATGTCTATGCCCATGGCAGGCATGACTCCAGGAGTGTGGGGCTGAGAAGGGTTGCCAGTGGAAAAGATAATGGAAACTAGTATATAACTAGTATATTGGCGTTATATTGGGATAATGGAAAACAAGATGGAAACTACTATTTAGGGTTGTTGAGGATTAAGGGTGTGAGGGTTTTAGGATTTCAGGGTTTTAGGGGTCCAAATTAAGGATTTGGGGAGTATAAGTTACGGGGATTGCTGTCCTAAGGCTTGTGCTTCGGCGGTGTTGCCGGTACCGCCTCAAGCCATGCTTTCTCCAGGGTTGCATAACCCTAACGCTCCAAATTGCCCAACATAGATTATATTTATAAACTTGGGGGCCCAGTGTAGGTGTTGTTTATAGACGTCAAGCCCCAGGGGTCGGGAATGTATCCCTTTTTTTTTGCCATTGTCATCATATACATATATATATATAACCCGTATGATCGGCGCGTATGCAGCCCTTTTAAGCCCCTGTATAAACCCAATACAACCTCTGTGCAACCCAGACCCTCTAAAGGTTCCAAAAAATGGAACCCTCTAATAATCCCCTAGTTTCCCCAATATAGTCATGGGTTCATATTGGGGGGGTTCCATTTTTTGGATTCTTTAGGGGGTCTGGGAATACAAGGAGCCCGAGGATAAGCATTGTTTGTTGTGGATTTGCCAGAGTTCAGGTTCGGCTTGTGGATCTGTAGAATTGGATTCTCCGCGTTTTTTAGGGTTTACAGCGATTAGGGCCAGGGTTGGGGGTTTAGGGTTTAAGGTTTAGTGTTTAAGGCTTGTAGGGTCTAGGGGTTAGGTTTTTCACTTCTGCATGCTGCTTCTGCATGCCGCGCCAACATCATGGGATGACGTCGCTGTGCCTTTTGCATCTTTGCGGTGTGATTTGAAGCATCGTCTGCTGATACAATGTCAGGAAATAATGCAGGCAAGAGGTTTTATTCATCGCCCTTTCATGACTTCCAGCTCAGGCGCTTCTCTGCCTGAGCGGGTAGAATGAGTGGCAAATAGGGTTCTGCATGCTTGTGCGCGCGCGCATGCATTCCCAATCGCTCGTCATGTTCTGCATGGGATGGCGCCAGGCGTTTGCGCAACGGCACGTGCCAGCAGAGGGTCTCCAAAGCACCATGCTGCAGCTGCTTCATGCATCGAGGGGGCACGCTCTGAACATGCATTCCACGTCGCGGGTTTCCTGCCGGCACGTGACAAAAACTTGCGTGTTTCAGGCAGCACGCATTGGGCATGCAGAACGTTCTGTCCAGGCAGCACGCAATCCCATGCAGAATGTTATCTATGCACCACGGAAGGCACAGATCGCTCAGTGCAGAACGCAGGCAGGCGCATGCAGAACGATCACGCAAGACATTTTGCCCCAAGCAGAACATGCAAAGCACGCAGAACGATCATTTAGGGAGCATGCATCGCGAATCTCTCGACATATACTCACTACATATTCCCCACAAGACCCCTAGATTACCCTGATTACCCTGGGAGGTCCTAGCTTCGGAAACCGCCCCAAAACCCCCTTCGACCCGACCCCCTAAACCTTGCAACTTACCTTAGGCACGTACACCTCTATCATCCCTATCTAACCCGATGCAATCCCTGGATCACCTGCGGGGCCCTGTAAGCTTTAACCCAACCCTAAACCCTAAACCTAAACCCTATACCCTAAACAGTAGTTTCCATTTTCTTTTCCATTACCCCAATATAACCCCAATACAACCTCGGGAAGTCTGCTTGTGCATCCTTTCGATCTCAGGTGCCGGCAATGCCCGGCTGCCCCTGCGCGGATCCCAGCAAAACTAATGGGATAATGGAAATGGCAACTGCTATTTAGGGTTTAGGGTTGGGGTTATATAAGGATAACTGAAAAGAGAATGGGAACTACTATTTAGGGTTTAGGGTTCACCATGGTTTTGTGTGCCCTTCTCAAAAGTTGAGGATTCAGGGTTTAAGGTTGAGGCATATAGGGTTTTGATAGGTATTTTTTTTCCGGGATATGTCGGGCTACATATGTACCGTAGGGATTTGGAAGGTTTGGGGACTCAGGGGTTGATCAAAAGATTTTAGCCGTGGGGGTTTGGAGGATCTTGGGTTTCAGGGTTTAGGGGATTTGGGGTAGTTGGCCTTGGTTTTTCAGGGTTTAGGGCTCAGAGCTTCATGGATGGGATTTAAGGTTTCAGGGTTGA